AATAATCAGTAAATATACGTATATTGTTGTGTACATCATTTTAATTCATTTTTGACAAAAAAGTACATAGTAAATTCTTAATTTACAAAATACATGAGGTCACATTCAATCTCAAGAAAATCAAATCTTCTACTTCAACATAGCATTTCTCTGCTTGACAGTGAAAGGTAATGAGTTGGAGTACACTATCTGATTCTTATAAGATGGGTCACATATACAATAACTGTGCTGTACAAACATGAAACAGATAACATTAGTCAAAAACATGCTCTATAGTAGGTATTGCTGGGTTGGAAAAACAGTGGGGTCAAATACAGTATGCCTCATTAACATATACATGTTCAAATAAAGAGATTCCATGCTACATCTACATAAAAAACACATGCAGTTCTAATCAGGCAAGTTCAGAAATTCCACAATCAATTAAACCAAACCTTTCCTCATTTCACATATTTTTTTTCTGGTTCGTGGGCAAATTAGTATTTGGCTAAAGCTGAGGTTACATCACTAAAAAAGAAATATATATTGAAATAACAGTAAGAAACAAATTAAAAACAACAAAATTTCAATTCAACACAATTTCAACATTTTCATTTTCTTTTTAAGGAAAGTATCATTTCGTGCAAAAATAACACAAATGATTTCACTTTACTTTTTCAAAATTACTGTTCATCTCTATAAAACAAGAAAATATATTATTCTTGCAAAAACATTAGTAGTGGAACTGAACTATCCAGGGTGATATTTAACAATAGACACTACTCTTTGTAACACAGTTACAAAAACAAGGTGATATCAGCTGATATCGACATTCAGGTTACAGTGTGACCAGATGATAAAGAGTTCATTAGTGTGTGTTATGATCATGCTAAAAAATAAGCTTTTCTGGAAATGGAAGAAAACTCAACTGCATTTATTATTTTCATATCATATGCTCATTGAAATCAGTGCAGGTAGCATGTTAAAAGAGAAATATGTTACAAAGATAAACTGTAATCATTATTCTACTGTGAGTGGATAATACACAATCTGACTGATCAATCATGGACGTAAAATGACAATTACAACCTCCGATCAAAACAGCTGTGTACTTGGTTCCCAAAGTCTATTTAGTGAGTTTAGTTTAGTTTTATGGCACTTTTAGCAATATTTCAGCAATATCACAAAGGGGAAAGAGAGAGAGAGAGAGAGAGAGAAGGGGGGAGACACTAGAAATGGGCTTCACACATTGTGCCCATGTAGGGAATAGAACCTAAATCTTCAGGTGACAAGCGATTGCTTTAACCACTTGGCTACCCCACCACCCAAGTTCTATTTAGTTAATGTGATAATTAAACTCTACTTCAAACACTGACTGTTGCACATCTTGTGATATCTGCACATCTTTATTTAAAGTTTGACAAGCTATTTCATTTTGCAAAATTGTGCTCATAATGACATGACGTACCATATTTGCCATAATAAACGACCAGCATGCGTTGAAAAATATTAACATGGGTGCTTAGAAAGATGATATACAGATCTGAAACATGGTACGTGGGCACGTTATACAGCGAACACAGCATATATATTTAGTAAACATGCATGAAATGTCACATTTAAACATATCAACTGTTAGTGCCTTGTTCTTCTATCCTTAAAGTATGAATTTTAAGATTACAAGAACACTTTCTCAGCACTGCAGCAGATAACAAAAGCACTGCGAAATCGCAAGTAAATAAAGCACCTCCAGTCATAGTCTGGTATGAATCATAAATGAACTTTGAAACCATAAAGCTTGGAAAAAGAGGACCTAAATGATGCATGGAATGTGGTGGTTTTCAAGCATAAAAATGTAAAGAAATTTTGTAAAAAATGTTAATAATAAACCATGTACAGTACATGATGAAAATCCTGAAGTAATAACTGACTTGGCTGTCATGTTTACTTCCTATTGGCATAAAGGATCATGTTGTTTTATTGAAACAATGTAGTAGTTGCATTACAACTGATTCTTAATTGTTTTTCTTCAGTGGTATCCAGTAATAATAATTCATAATAATACATCGTTTCAAACTGCTAACCAGCACTTTTTCTCATATATTTAAAGAGACTTCGAACCTCATCTGACATAATGTAACTATCATTAAATTGATGCCCTTTTGTCTCAACATAACATAAAATGCCAACATGGAACAGATTGTATGCCTATCAAGTTTGTTGTGACTGATTCACCACAATGCCATTTAGCTGATGCCACATTTTCAAAACTCCTGCCATAAGGGGTAAGAGGAAACCTCCTGGGTTTCATCCAGTTTACCTGTTTAGGGAAGTGGACCTCGTCATAAGTTGGATAGGCAAAAGCTTCAGCAACCAAGCCACCTTACTGCCCTGAGCTGGGTTAAATCACATCAGCATACAGAAAGTTAACACAGCTCAATTTGGAACTTAAGGAAATTATAAATTCAAATGAAAATTATAATTAATTAATGGAAACACACTTCCAGGTTGCAGTCAAGATGTACGCTAATGCTGCAGCACTATTTAATTGCATAATACAATTAATCAAACCTACGGAGGCAGTGAGGTTAATATAGGAATATCAATCATGGTGGGTATTTACAATATTTACAACGGTCCTCGCACGATGGATCTTAAAGATTAGTAATAGAATTTACAATTCTAATTTGTTTTTTATATTTTACACTCACCAAAAGAATAATGGTACAAATTGAACAAATGTACTGGCACTATGGACTAACTGAAAGTGGACGATATGCTACTCCAATAATATTTTCCTTACTACATTCTGAATTAAGTGTAGAATATGCATTTTTATTAACCACGTTCATGAGATTGTCAACTTTTGCATATATAAGTCACCTTATAATATCAGCATATTCAAATAAAATGATTTCAGATCCACTGTACGTGAGACAAAGTATTTACAAAATGCCATTTATATATTTGATTCTCACAAACATTAATTGTCACAAATGCTGCAGGTAAATTCAAGCAGGTGCTACCCCTTGGAATGTCTTCATCTTAACAGAAGCAGAAAAGAGAATTTGCGATCCTTTTTGACATCTACAGCTAACCATTAAAAAACCATGAAACATTTATTAAGTACATGCTTATTCATTGACCATTGTAACACAGAGTTAACATGCTAACACAGAGTTAACATCGTGACACAGAGTTAACATCGTAACACAGTGTTAACATCGTAACACAGAGTTACAGTAATGGAACAACAGTCATCTGAGGCCTAAACGATTATGTGGGCAAAGTTTCTTGGAATTTAACATACACAAGATTTTCCAAAAGAAATTCAGCCAATATAATTAATAAAAAAATTGATATAAAGGTACTAGGTATTCCCAAGTCAGTATAAACAAAATTTATTTTGACATCACCTTTTAATATTTCAGGTTGACATAAAAAAGCATTTGTTCATTTCCTACAAGTAGTTTTCTGAAGGACTGATATTACAAGTTACAAGATGGTTTGCGGTATGTAGCCTCAACAAAATCTAATGTAAGTCATCATATATCTACTACATAAACATGTGATTCTAACATGAAATGTTGAGCAGGTTATTTGTGATCACTTAAATAAACAAAATGTACCGTGATTCAATGTAATAAGTGATGAATCCTTTTAACTCCCACTATATAATGTGAAAGCCAAACTGTGTCATTTATTAAAGACAACATCCAGAAATTTCTTTCCAACAAGCTATAAATACCTTTTCAAATGTAAGCCCTTTTACTTGTATTAGTAGTTTAAGGAAAATTCTTAGGAACCAGTAATTTAATGTAGAGGGTCGAGGAAAATATAAATGACTATATCAGCTTACAAATTCAACTAGAAACAAATTAAAATCCCACAATTGTGAAAAAGGTGTCATATAGTGTGAAATGTAGTGCTGATGTTAGTCAGTAGATTTTCTACTCGTTTGTCTGCAGCAAAGACAACCAACAAATGTATTGACTAGGTTTAAATAGCAGACTCTAGAGTAATATCAGGAGCAGATTGTTTAGAAAAATGACAAAGGTTAGTTGGTAAACATTTTGTAAACATTTTGTGTATTGAGAACACCTTTTGAAGTTTAACTCTGTAGACATTTGACACATGGAACACGGTTATTATAATATCTCAATATGTATATACAAGGGGCAGCTGATGACATATAATATTCAGTACATGTATCTACCAGACATTATGCTTGAGCATATCCAGAGATGGAACTACACGGTGTCCTGATACAATCTCCCACAACACAACCACATAGAACATTCTGACAATGACTCACACACACACACATCTCTTCTGAAGACTATGATGGGGTAAATTTTGGCTCAACCATAAATTAAAATTTCTGCAACCATTTAAAATATGGGCGCATTAACAGTAAATATGATACACATGGTGTAAAAACTATTAGACTAAAAAGTCTTGTTCTGAATATATGAAGGTAAAAGGTGTTTTGAAAGAAATACCTTCCAAAATAATGTTCTTAATTTGGATTATATACAGTAAATCAAGAAATTAACGTGAAAAATGTGAGTGTCCTTTGATTAATATAAGGTGATGAGCTACTGTCTGGACATATTCAATTGTGAAGTCATGTCATGATCACAACACACTTACGAAAATGTCAAATCAAGTAACAATAGTTGTGGAGAATACATAACGCATTTAAAAAACCATTTGGCCTATTCACTATTTTTGTCAGTTGAACTGATCAATCCCAAGCAGGGAAAGTTTCATTCATAAAGAAAGTAAATGATATTGTTCAATTACTCTCATGCTGGCTCCATTGGTGTTGAAACATGAATTAATTTGGTGACACATTAATTTCCTGACTTGCAGTATTCCATGAGCAAAAGGGAGGTAACTCTCCCAATCTACAGATCGTTGCTGAAGAAAATTCATGGTGGGTGGTTGTCTGAGGTACAATCAGGCAATCGGGGAAAGGAATCTTTGGCGCGTTGATGAACACGGAAGTCTCTTTTTCATGGTAAATGCACTTTTTATGAAATAGTCTCCGAGGTTACAGCATAAACTTCTTACTTCGAAGATAACAGAATAAAACGACAGCGGCAACCATTGCCAGAATCTGTGGAAATAACAAATGCATTTGAGTTCAACAGTGTTCATGGTCATCACAGCATACTCTAGTCATACTTGTTGACATGAAAGTGAGTCCTTTGGTTAAAAGTACACTGTAACAGAGTTGTTTGAAACTTATTATTTTCCTTTATAGTCAAGACATTGTCTTTCCAAAAGAAAATGTTTGAAGTGCTGCAATGTATTGTGATCCCCATTACATTAAGAAAGATTTACGATGACCTCTACAGTTGGACCACATTGTAGAACAGGGTGTAAAAGTCCTGGACCCCCGTCTGTTGCTACCAATACACTTTCTGCACATCTTAAATTTGGGGGACATATAAGTTTCTTCTTTGAGAGGAATTTAAGAAGTTGTATAGATGAAGGAAAACCAAGTTTTATGGATAGTCAACTTCTTTATTGCAATTAGTGCGACGTTTCAGTGTAGGTACTAACACCGTTATCATCACTTGCTTGATAACAGTGTTAGTACCGACACCGAAACGTCGCACTCATTGCAATAAAGAAGTTGACTATCCATAGAACTTGGTTTTCAGACATACAAGTTTACCTGTATGACGCCCACTGTAATTCCGACCACTCCCAGTATGTACATGTTTCGTACAAACCAGTACTCGATCTCTCCGAGACAGCCCTGAAACAGGCACAGAAGTTGCATGATCATCCCCACAACAGCTACACAATATGGTGAACAGCCACACAATATGGTGAACAGCCACACAATATGGTGAACAACCACACAATATGGTGAACAGCCACACAATATGGTGAACAACCACACAATATGGTGAACAGCTACACAATATGGTGAACAACCACACAATATGGTGAACAGCCACACAATAAGGTGAACAGCCACACAATATGGTGAACAACCACACAATATGGTGAACAGCCACACAATATGGTGAACAACCACACAATATGGTGAACAGCTACACAATATGGTGAACAACCACACAATATGGTGAACAGCCACACAATATGGTGAACAACCACACAATATTGTGAACAGCCACACAATATGGTGAACAGCCACACAATATGGTGAACAACCACACAATATGGTGAACAAACACACAATATGGTGAACAACCACACAATATGGTGAACAAACACAATATGGTGAACAACCTCACAATATGGTGAACAGCCACACAATATGGTGAACAAACACACAATATGGTGAACAACCACACAATATGGTGAACAGCCACACAATATGGTGAACAGCCACACAATATGGTGAACAACCACACAATATGGTGAACAACCACACAATATGGTGAACAACCACACAATATGGTGAACAGCCGCACAATATGGTGAACAGCCGCACAATAAGGTGAACAACCACACAATGTGGTGAACAACCACACAATGTGGTGAACAACCACACAATGTGGTGAACAACCACACAATATGGTGAACAACCACACAATATGGTGAACAGCCACACAATATGGTGAACAACCACACAATATGGTGAACAAACACAATATGGTGAACAACCTCACAATATGGTGAACAGCCACACAATATGGTGAACAAACACACAATATGGTGAACAACCACACAATATGGTGAACAACCACACAATATGGTGAACAGCCACACAATATGGTGAACAGCCACACAATATGGTGAACAACCACACAATATGGTGAACAACCACACAATATGGTGAACAGCCGCACAATATGGTGAACAGCCGCACAATAAGGTGAACAACCACACAATGTGGTGAACAACCACACAATGTGGTGAACAACCACACAATGTGGTGAACAACCACACAATATGGTGAACAGCCACACAATATGGTGAACAGCCACACAATATGGTGAACAGCCACACAATATGGTGAACAACCACACAATATGGTGAGCAGCTACACAATATGGTGAACAGCCACACAATATGGTGAACAACCACACAATATGGTGAGCAGCTATACTGGAGTCAAACAATCAATGCCAAGACACACTATACCATGAACTATAATTCAACACTTAATGATTCCTCAGCAGAATGGTCTTTGTGCATTAACCTCCACGCTATCTAGCTATTAGTCAGCATGCATACTGCTCGGTGGCACACAGTGCTGAAGTAGCAGATTACATGTAATTTGTTTCCAAAATGTTGAAATGTTCATATTTCACCATAAATTGTTTGTCTGTCTCTCTTTATCAGTGAAGGTCCGGGTTAGAATATTGATCTTCAGTAACCCATGTTTGTCGTAAGAGGCGACTAACAGGATCAGGTGGTCAGGCTCGCTGACTTGGTTGACACATGTCATCGGTTCCCAATTGTGCTGATCGATGCTCATGCTGTTGATCACTGGATTGTCTGGTCTAGACTCGATTATTTACAGACTGCCGCCATATAGCTGAATATTGCTGAGTGCGGCGCAAAAACTAAACTTACTCACTTTGTCTCTCTTTCTTGTGTAAGTTGTTAAACAACACACTCAGCAATATTCTAGCTATATAAATGAGGCCTCAAGAATCGAGTCTGGACCAGTGATTATGAGCCAAGACCCACGCCTTTGATTGATTGACTGATAGTTGTTTAACGCTGCACGCAGCAATATTCCACCTCTATGGCCACAGTCTGTAAATAGTTGAGTCTGCACCAGACAATCCAGTGACCAACAGCATGAGTATCGATCTACGCAACTGGGATACGATGACATGAGTCAATGAAGTCAGCGAGCCTGACCACCTGATCCTGTTAGTCGCCTCTTACAAGGATGAGTTGCTAAAGACCAATTCCACCCCGGATGTTCATGGGTTCCTGTTGCATGTAGACTTGTCATCAACAGTCACCGGGATTGACAAGACTCCATTATACTTGTTAACTTGCCTATTATAACCAACACAGTCACAGTATTACAACAACAGACGAAGTGTTCACTGGAGATTAGGGATCCCACATTTTTCTACACTTTCCAAGGAAAGATGTCACAAATCAAAATAATGGATTATTTGACCCTGTAGAAAGTCCAAGAATGGAATTAACAAATTCAATCATTCATGGAGGATAATCTCTAATCGTTTTGATCAAGGTGCAGCTTACCCTCTCAAACCAGAATGACTTGTCAAGTTTCCCGCAGAACTCTACAGGATGTAGACAGCACGAGTCTGGTACTCGCATGGCCTCTGGCCACGCCTTGATGTGGTACCAGTCCGTGAAGTTGTCCACTCCGCAACACTGTAGCTGTTGACAAAGAGGCATGTGGTCATCAATAACATTAGCAAGAGACAACAGATTCAGCATTATGAAACAGTATCATGGGTACAAACTGCCTACAAAAGTTGTTCATGTTGTGAATACAATACATAGGAAGACTGACATAGACTGAAAAATGGGGATTGCATACCCTCTGCATTCCCATTTTTACCTACCAGAGGTTAATATATGGGCGTGAAGGTCATGTGTATCACAGTGTTACTACCAGCCCTTGAAACAATGGGAGGGGCGATATGATGTGTATCACAGTGTTACTACCAGCCCTTGAAACAAACACTGGGTGTTACAAATCTATCTGAATATATTCCTCCCTATTAAACATAAAAATCCTTCAAACTAGAAAACAAAAACATTTCAATATGCTAAATCATGATCCAATATCCATTTACTATGTTTACCAGTGTGTACATTTTGAAAAATGCATTGATAAATTTCAGAATGGAACGTGTTGTCGTTATCCACAATCAGATTCAACCTATATCACATCTGCCTGTATATACACACGTAATAATCCACATCATCAGTACGTGATGTCAGAGAAGAAGCAATCATTTAAATGGTGTTGGTGACCTACGTCAGTCTGTAGGGAGTCGATGATCTCCATCCAGCCGTCTGTGTTGGGGTCCTGCAAGGCTGGGGTGTAGTCATGGCGGATGCTGGCCAGTAGCTCCTTCTTTATCATCATCTGCACCTGCCACATCGTAACACAGCATTTAGGGATGTAACAAGAGCGTGTGGTATCCCAATACTATTGGTGTGATAAGATATGCATATCAATACTATGGTTGAAATACGATATGTATCCCAATACTAGGGTTGCAATAAGATATGTATCCCAATACTAGGGGTGCAATAAGATACATATCCCAATACTAGGGGTGCAATAAGATACGTATCCCAATACTTGGGGTGCAATAAGATACATATTCAATACTATGGTTGCGATATAATATGTATCCTAATACTAGGGGGACCAACTATGTAGCAGACATATCGAAATTCTGTCCATGTTACAAGTATTTCATGACTCAGATATGTTTTAAAGTGATCTTCAACAGTTTTGCAATTGGTTGATCGTTGTTTTTTTGCAAAATTGTCTGTCGAAATTTGTTTACCTAAGCCTGCAAGTGTTCAATGTAATAGTGTTTGTTTCAAGGGTTTCTAGTATAAGGGAGATAACTCTTTCAGTTTTGTTGTTTAAGCTTGTGACATTTCTGAAAGTATTTTGCATTCTTTATCACCATTTTGCGGAAGATAATGTAAAGTTATTCTCTTTCTAAGACAAGTATATTGTATTTCTCAGTGTACATTTCCATTATAAGTAAATGTTCTATTGGTATCCTTTAAATATGCCAGGAACTGGTATAGAGAAAGACAATTTTTGACAGACAGGTCTATGTTTCAATACTAGTTTAGTATTACTGTGGATGTTTGATACATTGTTCAAGTGAATAGTTATTACTTCAATAAGAGAAGTCAGTTACAAGTTTGTCAAATGTTAGAATCTGAACATATTATTTCATGTTTGAAGTTATTTCATGTTAAAGATTTCACGCTCTCAAAGGCACATATCATTACATCACCAAAAGAAACTAATGTTTTGGGGTTATTCTTAAAGATTATTACCAGGAGAGGCTACTGAGTGCCTCCGGCATGGTTAGCTGATAATTTTAACACTCCCAGTTTATCCTATTCAAACCATTCCGAACATGCATTAAAAGAATCCAAGCTCTTAAAATGATTACAATTTGATAAGAAAAAGACATTCAAGACATATTCCAGCATCCACATTGTTGTACTAAAAGTACTTCACAGTGATGCTGATCTAAGGAAGATAACCCAGTAAGAGTTACCTCGGCCTTCTTGACAAATCCCAGGGTTCCAGCTGTGATCTCCAGGGCAAAGATGAGCAGCACCATCACAAAATACTGAAATAGGATGACAGAAACATAACAAAATACTGAAACAAGACACATGTTAGAGAAAGTTTAGAAACTGGCAAGATTTGGTAACAGGACTAGTGGTGGATTCTTTGATAAAATTCCATCGAAAGCATCATGCAGCCCCCTTTAGGAGATAATAACGAACTCAGCAATACTCCAACTATATGACAAATAAATGAGTCTGAACCAGATGATCTTGTGATTGATATGAGCAACATTCCAACCTTCAGAGTATGACGACCTGCATACAAGGACTTTGCACCTAACCACCAATGTCTTATGGTGGCAGTTGTTGGGGACCAATAGATGCAAAAAGCTGTCTGCAACATCTCTAGGGCCTTGATGATGACAGTGATACCATGAACAAATATGTATCTCCTTCTGGGCCTTACATTCACACAAAGTTTAAGACCTGAGGCCCGCAAGATTCTTGAAAACAATATCTTAAAACTTTTTGTAAAATGTCATCAAAAAGAAATGCATTAAAGATATATCAAAGGTTAAGGTTTTGCCACCACAAAGGTCACAAGAGAGACCCCTGTTTGAAGCCTTGTTGGTCTGTTGTCCTTGCCTCAACAAACAAGGCAAAGCCTATTTTGGCTTTGACCAGTCACAGGGATAACTGACACATAACCTGTAAAAACACCTCACAGGCTTGCCAAGTGTGGAGTGTCTGCCCTTTCTTTAAACTGTTGTCCTATTTTCTCCTGGTATGAGATGCTGTACGGTAATTGTGTGTGCACCAACCAACTGACAGCCTCTCAGATAGTTCGGGTAATATACTCATGTGCAAAACCTGCTTTACCTTGCTTGGGCCTTGTAATAATATAATAACATATAAAAGTACAGCACTCTATTCCTAGACGCCTCTATCACTAAGACAAGTGTAGGGATACACTATCGTCTGCTACAAGTAGTCCGGCTTGGCAGTATGGCTGCCATAGATGCCTCTGTACGTTTGGCAGTAATAATTACATGAATGAACCAAACACGACTTTATTACAGAACACCAGTATATTCAGAACGTTATAGAATGTGCTGGCATACTTGTATGAAGTACTGTCTAAATTATGTTTAAAAATTTCACCTACTGTAATTTTTATTGGCCATGAAAATCATTTTCATTTTTGTGACATTAACTATTATACTGTAAATATAAGTTATAAATAAAAGTGGATCAAAATCACAAAATACCCCAAAACAAACCATTTGCTGCATGAAAACTGCCAGATGCTTGCAGGAATAATAGAAAAAATTGATTTTATAAATACAGACACAATCATAGTGCCCTGCTATGCTTCTGTAACATAACTCTGTTTTAAATTAGACTACTTCATGCTTCATGGAATTAACTCTACTCTGCAACTCAGGTTGATATTAGACTACTTAGCAACAAGTTATTGCGGACAGAACCACCAGAAACCAATATGTTAGAACTTGTATACTTACACAACGATTAATGCACGCGGAGTGTAAAACATCTGTATGATTTTTCTCAGCTGATCAATAAAACACTTACCCCGATCAGCATGCACTGGTTTTCAAGGAAGGCTCCACAGCACCCGAGGAACCCCACGATCAGGATGATAGCGGGGCTGTGATGCACAGTGCAGATGCACTCAGGAAGCTGTGACACGCAGGAAGCATGGACACGAACGGGCCACGGTTGAACTGCAGCCATATTCCCAGGGCAAGCACCCCACATCCCATCAGCTGGAAAAACATGAAAAACAGGTCAAACATGGATAGTCAAGTCAAAGGTGTTTTATTGTATCAAAGGCCATCAGCCCATATGCAAGTTTACGTAAATACACTGGTTGAGAATATACCAATTAGTAGAGACAGTGGAAAAAATAAAAATATAACATTCATTTAACAATTGGTGGTAATCAGAAGGACTTTTTAGAGTAAGGTAAATCTGAAATCCCATTCAACAAGTTATTTCTTAGGTCCATTCCATGTTTTACAAATAGAGATAATCTAAATATTACATCGGCATCATTCGATGCCAAAATAGAGACAAACCCTATTCTACTCAACTTAGATGAGAAACGTTCTGGTATATATTTAGTTCGTATTTCTGCATAATGAGGACATTCAAAGGTAAAATGTATTTCGTCTTCTAAAGCAGAGCTACATAGTGGAAAAATTCTTTGTATTCTTTCAAGTGATATATTCCGACCATAATTAATCATTAACTTTGACAAGCCAAGTCTGTATTTAATATATATATTTCTTAGGTTACTATTTGTTAAAACTAATAAATATTTTTCTGGCTCTAATAAAGTTTTAAACGTTTTGTAAAGATCAGAACGTGAACTGTTTTCTAAATTGGATTGCCATCCTTGATAGAACATATTTATTGCTACTTTACGAAAATCATTTAGAAATAGAAATAGATTGCCAGCAGATTGATTAAACCATACAAACCAATATCCATGTGAGAATAATAGTTAATTCTTCATTTTTACGCTTCATGCAGCTGTAGTCTAACAGAAACATGGCTGCGTTTGATGATTGGCATTTGGATTTGAAATAAAAATTCGGAAGCTGATGACCATAAGGATAGGGAAAGTGATAGTGATGGGAATTTGGAAGGGGATTGTGATAGTGATGGGAATTTGGAAGGGGATTGTGATAGTGATGGGAATTTGAAAGGGGATTGTGATTGTGAGTGGAATTTGAAAGGGGATTGTGATAGTGATGGGAATTTGGAAGGGGATTGTGATAGTGATGGGAATTTGAAAGGGGATTGTGATTGTGAGTGGAATTTGGAAGGGGATTGTGATAGTGATGGGAATTTGAAAGGGGATTGTGATTGTGAGTGGAATTTGGAAGGGGATTGTGACTGTGATGGGAATTTGGCAAGGGGGTTGTGACTGTGATGGGAATTTGAAAGGGGATTGGGATTGTGATGGGAATTTTGAAGGGGATTGTGATTGTGATGGGAATTTGGAAGGGGATTGTGACTTTGATGGGAATTTGAAAGGGGATTGTGACTGTTATGGGAATTTGGAAGAGGAAGGTGATTGGGATCGCGATTGTGAAGGGGATTGTGACTGTGATGGGAATTTGAAAGGGGATTGTGACTGATGGGAATTTGGAAGGGGATTGTGACTGTGATGGGAATTTGGCAAGGGGGTTGTGACTGTGATGGGAATTTGAAAGGGGATTGGGATTGTGATGGGAATTTTGAAGGGGATTGTGATTGTGATGGGAATTTGGAAGGGGATTGTGACTTTGATGGGAATTTGAAAGGGGATTGTGACTGTTATGGGAATTTGGAAGAGGAAGGTGATTGGGATCGCGATTGTGAAGGGGATTGTGACTGTGATGGGAATTTGGAAGGGGATTGTGACTGTGATGGGAATTTGAAAGGGGATTGTGATTGTGATGGAAATTTGAAAGGGGATTGTGATTGTGATGGGAATTTGGAAGGGGATTGTGACTGTGATGGGAATTTGAAAGGGGATTGAGATTGTGATGGGAATTTGGAAGAGGAAGGTGATTAGGATGGCGATTGTGAAGGGGATTTAGATTGGGGAGAGATTGGGCTGATGATGGCGTTTTGTTTTGGATTGGAGTTATGGGTGTGGTTGTGACAGTCTATCAATCATCAATCAATTAACATCCAATCGGCTCATTAACAATTTCTTGGCTTCATGGCTTGTCTTATTTGTTTTTATTCTCCACCTGTCCTCAACAAATTATGCGCTACATGTTATCACCTGTTGTTGTTGTTAGTGTGCTGCTATGGATGGATACATCTCATCACCTGGTTGCAGTCACTTTTACTGTGATAATGGTCGCTCTATGAAATATACAAGTAACTGCTATCCATACATATGACTGAACAAGCCTGAGTATTTAGCTACAACAAATCGGTGAACCAGGAAAATGGAAGCATGGAAGCATGTAGTATCTTGTAGATATACCCTGTCTGGGATATACCCTTGTGGTTTCAGAGGAGATATGTGCAAGATAACAATGGACAATAGCTCCATAACATCAGCCCACTTGAACCTTCGGAACTTCACACCTGTATGTACTTAATTGATCATTGACTATAATACCAGAAGATGTTCCATCATCAGATCATTAGAAATAGTACACTGAGATCAAATACTGAACTATTAGCGTCTAACTCAGTGGTCATAAATTTGATCTATTCATGTGAGTGAGTGAGTGAGTGAGTGAGTGAGTGAGTGAGTGAGTGAGTGAGTGAGAGTGAGTGAGTGAGTGAGTGAGTGAGTGAGTGAGTGAGTGAGTGAGTGAGTGTACTCTATTGTTGAACACTAGTCCAGTTATTTCATGCTTGCCAGCCTAAAGTGGGAGAATAATAGCCCAAAGTTGTGCAGGTGGTAGACAATTACATTCTCGATAAAACCCACAAGCATGAGTATGGGGCTGACAAACCCAGAAAGAAGATGAGGGCCAGTCGAGATTCAAACCCATAATCACAGGTTTCTGGTGTGGTCAGGGAATGAGACAGTGTCCCCTTAATGTGCGAGAGCAGGTATGTTTTTACGAAGCTTTCAACAAAATATAAGCTATCCAAAGAAGGGTAAGGAAGATTACTATGGGACGTCCCATCTCTTGTTGTTATTATTATTATAGGATATTTATATAGCGCACATATCCACGCACTAGTACATGCTCAAGGTGCTGGTATTTTCCCTCGATCATTGGATGTCAATCTCAACGGCACATCTTATTATCAATCTCAGCTCCCTGGGGATCATACAACTCTTGCTGCCACCGAAGTTATTAAGGCTTTCCCATCCTTACTTAGGTTGTTGTACAGTGTTTCATTGCACCATTTTGTTTTGGTTAATAATATCCTTGTTACATTTCACAAGGAAGTGAGCTTCCTAACTGGGGATCTGATTCGAGAGTGTGAAACAAATAAAGATATTTATAGATGAAGCATCTCCGTGAATTTATAGGAGATTGACACAAATCTTGTTGGTATCAATGTGAAGGTCATCATCAAACTCTCAATCTGGCAGCAGACGGCAACAGGACAACAACACAACAACTGATGTTGTTCCAGAGAATCCACGACCACATCTTCATGTAGAAAGAAACTTTTCCATTTTGGACAACACAGCGTAGAACAAAGAGGTTCTAACCCAACATTACATTCCTTAATCTACGGACAATATTTGCCCTTAAGACCTGGTAAACAAAGCAATGTGACCTTTGCAAATTTACAGCTGAACCTGTCTTAATATCCTCCCCACGTCCTTTGAAGGGGATGGCCAAATCAAAACAATGACCTTCCATGCCCGATGTGGTTAATCAGGCAAATTTGACCCAATCTACTTTCACAGCTCATGCTTTAGGACATCAAACATGGCCGCTGCCCATTTGTGCTACATTAAACATGGCTGCTAGAGGTAGAATGCGAAGACAAGCACTCTGCCAAACTGAAATACACAAAGTCCCTGAATATTCTGTCGATTTTCTGTTATGTTAACAACTGAATTAATTTTTAAAGTGCCATACTGGGCACAACATTGTGTTGATCTAATGTAATTAATGTTTACTTTCAAATCATCTATATGTCTCAGTCTCTCTTGATCAAACATGTCAGCCAATTCATGATTGTATACCAAATAATCTTAACATCTGAGAGGCTATCGAGAGACTCAATAACATTTTTTATTCTTGATCCTATATTGGATATGTGATGAGAATGGTGAGTTAGTGAGTGAGTGAAAGAGTGAGTCAGTCTTATGCTGCTTTTAGCAATATTCTAGCAATATCACGTCTGGGAACACCAGAAATGGACTTCACAAATTGTACCCATGCGGGGAATCGAACCCAGGTCTTCAGTTTGACAGTTTAACACACAAACCATAAGGCTACCCCACTGTACCTCTTCAGGTTGAGAGAACTCTTGCAAACTACTTTGTTCTACCTTTTTCTTGAACAGTTTATTCTGTAAAAAAATCCTAGACTGTTAGATCAGTATACAGTAAACTTGTTCTCCAGTTAATGCTGTGGCTTGATATAGATACTTTATCTAACATACTTGAAACTTAGGCATTGAGTTGAGAGGGCTTTTCCTTGTTCAAACCACAGGAAATGAAGGGGAACCCCGAACAACTTCCTTCCACTTCGATAACAATAGCAACATTCTATGTTCACAGCTCTACTGCAGTGAGTGAGTGAGTGGGTGAGTGAGTGAGTGGTTTTACGCTGCTGTTAGCAAAATTCCAGCAATATCACGGCGGGGGACACCAGAAATGGGCTTCACACATTGTACCCATATGGGGAAACGAACCCGGGTTTTCAGCGTGACGAGGGGACACCACCTCCAGCACAGCAAGCCCGATGTCACTGGGGCATACACAACGTAAATATCAGCTTTCTCTCAAATATACTTCTAATCACAATATCATTGCATTGTCAACAATATTCAGCTGAGTGATGTCTCCAGATAAATAATCAAGTCTAGACAAGACGATCCAGTGATTGATGATATGAGAAACACAGCCACTGTTCCTTACAACCCGGTCACATTTGTTAAGTGGAGAATTATATTCTAACATGGGATTACCACATGACTTGATGGATTGATACAGAAAATATATATGGAAAAAAGGGTTCTCTGTATCTTGATGCTGCTCCCATGGAATTGAAGCCAACTACTATGATGATTTACTTTCAGAAATTGAGTTCTGTAAAAGGTGAAATAGAAAAATCTAAAGGAATATTAAGTATCCCAATTTCTTAGAGTGAGTTTAGTTTTACGCCACACTGAGCAACATTCCAGCTATATGGCAGCGGTCTGTAAACAATCCCATTTTGTTAGAACCAAATATCAAAGTGTAATAAAAATGATTTGCTTGAGTTGGGAAGGGGATGACAAAGGAATTGTTAATAATGTCTTGTGAAATTTTCATGTACCCGGTACACATGAGAGACAAGGAACACATTTGGTATCACTTGGGAATACCCCACACAATTTGCACGTATCAAAGACTTATGTGAAAAATATCTTTAAAAATATTGTTGATGTTTAGATGTAGCTCAAGAGACAGCGTTGTCAAGCAAGTATGTCAACCATGCTAACCTTTACGCTAGTTCGACAACATAAACAGCTTTTCTCAAACATGTGTGCTGTGTACGCAGTCTATTGGGGGAGGCCAGCTGACCCCAGGGAGATCACTACTACACTAAGGCTTAGTCTCTGAATATATATATAATTTTGATAGTAACAAACAAGCCCATTTATATTGAAAAGGAGCCCTAGGGAGACCAGAGATTCAGACCTGAGGAAATCTAGACTTGCTTTATTTAGGGCTTTAGCACTGCAGAGAGGGCTTGGCAGTAGGGAAATTAATGTGGTTCAGGGACTGTGAGACAGACTAGATCACTACCAATGGAGCCATTGGTTTGAATTCAATTGTATTAGCTATAAATAAGGATACAAATTTCAATACAAGCATTAAAGACAATTCTGAAGCTGGTTAAAATTCTCAATAAATTTTTTT